CTCATGTGGTCTTCATTTACCATGGTCTCCTATTCCTTGTTCTCCCTCTCTGTTGTTGATCCAGCTGGGATCTCCCACTCCCCCAAGCTCTCTTTCCCTCGACCCTTGCCTTTCATTACCCCCACTCACGTCCAGGTTGTTCATGTAGATCTCATCCATTTCTCTGTCACTGGGCGATCCCTGTGTCTTTCTTCGGGTCCTGATTTCTAGGTAGCCTCCCTGGAGTTGTGAGTAGCAGTCCAGTCATCTTTGTTTTACATCTAGTATCCTCCTATGAGTGAGTACTCAAGAAATTAGACATCAAAATGCCCAACAGTCCAATTAAGAAATGGGCTATAGAACTAAATAGAGAATTCTCAACAGAGGAAACTCAAATGGCTGAAAGACATTTAAGGAATTGTTCAACATCCCTAATCATCAGGGAAATGCAAATCAAAACAACTCTGAGATACCACCTTATGCCTGTCAGAATGGTTAAGATCAAAAACACTGAAGACAGCTTATGCTGGAGAGGATGTGGAACTAGGGGAACTCTCCTCCACTGCTGGTGGGAATGAAAGCTTGTACAACCACTCTGGAAATCAATATGGTGCTTTCTTAGAAAATTGGGAATCAATCTCCCCCAAGATCTAGCTATACCACTCTTGGGCATATACCCAAGGAATGCTCAATCATACCACAAGGGCACTTGCTCAGCTATGTTCATATCAGCATTGTTTGTAATAGCCAGAACCTGGAAACCACCTAGATGCCCTTCAACTGAAGAATGGATAAATAAAATGTGGTACATATACACAATGGAATACTACTCAGCAGAGAAAAACAATGACATCATGAGGTTTGCAGGCAAATGGATGGATCTAGAAAAAATAATCCTGAGTGAGGTAACCCAGACTCAGAAAGACAAACATAAAAATATATTTTTTTAAAAGCCAGAATCCACTTGTGGTGGTTTGAATAGGAATGACACCACAGACTCATGTGTTTGAATGCTTGGCCCAGAAGGCGTGGCACTAATAGGAGGTATGGCCTTGTTGGAAGAAGTGTATCATTATGGGAGCAGGCTTTGAGGTCTCATATGTTCAAGCTATGTCCAGTGTGATACACAGTCTCATTCTGCTGCCTGTGGATCAAGATGTAGAACCCTCAGCTCCTTCTCTAGCACCATGTCTGTCTGCATGCCGCCATGAAGATAATGGACTAAACCTCTAACTATAAGCCAGCCCCAATTAAATGTTTCCCTTATAACAGTTGCCATGATCATGGTGTCTCTTCACAGCAATAGAAACCCTAACTAAATACCACTCCTTCTCCACTTCCCTTCAGCAAAGAGCAGGCTTCTCAGGGATATCAACCTAACACAGTATAACAACTTATAATACGACTAGGCACAAACCCTCATATATCAAGGCTGAGTGAGGCAACCCAATGGGAAGAAAAGAGTCCCAAGAGCAGGAGAGTCAGAGACACCCCACTCCCACTGTTATGAGTCCCACAAAAACACCAAGCTAACAAACATAACAGATAGGCAACACAGGGAATTCGGGGGCTGGGGACTGGGAGGAGTAGAGGGAGGGGAAAGAGCAGTCAGGATGTATTGAAAACAAAACAAACAAAAAAGTTATGATTAAATGAGCTGCATAAGGTCACAATTTATATATGACAGACTTGAAAAAAATTTATTTTTATATAGCCTACTAAATAACTCATTACAGCAATTAAAACCAGACGCTATCTTTTCTTGGTGTTTTATGACCTATAAATGTAGAATTATTATGAACATAAACCAGAGTAAAACTGATTATATTGTGTATATATATTTTTACATATATATGTATATGTAAGTCAAACATTTTAGCCTAAAGATCAGTGTGTAAGGTTACATCTATACTTAATAAAAATATATTTAATTACAAAGTAATTTATAGATATGAACATGACTGAAGGCACAATACTTTATGGGCTTTAACACTCCACCAGAGTGATGAACTATTTAATAGTATTTCACTGAAACTATTTTTCCCTTTAAAAAGTTAATATAATTGGTTTAAGAAAGCCAAAGCAAAAAACTATTAAATACATTCTGTTGATTGCTTAAGAAGACAAAAACTAGAGTATATTTACTAGATGCTGAAATCAAAACTCTAAATGATATCTTATTGCTTTAATAATCTCATACTAGGAACAAGGATGGTTTGGGGGGAAAAAATACCTCCTAAGAATTTTTAATCCCCAAATTTATATATAGGTAAGTCTTAATTTATAAATTGTTCTGAATTTACAAGTGGGGAAATTAATTTTTTATAGGTTACAATTTATAGATCATGGTATCAATAATATAAACTAAGCTTTGGTAATGACAACCTGTAAATCTTCCTTATTTGACATTAAGATCTACGCTCAGATTATATCTTCTTCAATCCTTTATTCAGCAGTAACCTCTTCAAAGATTTCTAAACAAGTGGACCCTTTAAAGATTCCTTAAAGAGATTTCAACTAAATTGAATTCCATAAATCCAATTTTATCATTTCTTTATAAAAATTCACAGTAGAGAAATGGCCTCATTCAGAGACTGAGAATCCAAATGACAGCATCAAGATGTCCAGGAACGGGACTGGGGTACAGTTCACTGGTTAGGAGTGCTTGTTGTAAGAGCCAGAGGACCAAACTTCAGATCCCTAGTATCCACATGAAGCCAAACATGGCTATGTATCCTCAGAAGCTCAGCACGCATACGTGTGTGTGTGTGTGTGTGTGTGTGTGTGTGTGTGTAATGGAGGTGAGGGAAGAGGGTGGCAGACAGATCCCCGGAGCTCAAGGTCAACTGCTGCCATGCCAGGACTGAATGCACAGGGAGAGCACTAACAGAGCTCAAGCATGTCCATGTCTCACCGCCACACTGGCAGATTCAGGGAGACTGATAAAAGAGTTCAACAAATTATGACCAACTATAATTTAATAAAACCTAATAAAAATTTAACAAAAAGGACAGACCCTTTCCTTAAACTGAAATTCTAGCTTGAACACCAAATTATTTTTAACTTACTGTGACATTAGAGACCTTTAGGAATGGAACTCATATACATTTTTTTCAAAGATATAGTGAAATTTTTGCCTGACAGATAATGTTAGGAAGTCTCCCAAAGGCCCTGAAGATGTAAGGAGTGACTTGGACCTGTGGGCACAGAGGAAGTTATCTTGTGAAAATATATCATATCAAGAATGTGCTGGGAGTAAAAGGTCTATTTTAGAAAAGTCTTATCTACCATAGAAATAAAACAGAACATAAAATTAGGCAAATCCATCAGAACTGCCCAAAGCAGAGTCACTGGTACATCAGCCAAAGTCACCAGGGCTGTCTACTGTAAATTACAAAAGCAAGTTTTACATATATTCTACCATTAAAAAAGTTTCTTTTTGGAGTTGAATTAATTCAATAATGAAAGATATCCTTTCTGCAACATGTGAACCACACACAAAAACCTTGTCATTAAATTAAAAGCAATGAAATCTATCTAAAAAGGATCACCTAACTGGGATGTTCCACTGCATTTTTTAAGATGCCTGACATGTTACAACTTACCCCAGGTGATGGTAGGGTGGAGGCCATGAGACACACCTCCTAATGTAGGTGGCAGGCTTGCCCTCCAGTCAAATAATTTTGAGCCTGTTTTTGCAGTGAGTAACCGCATTAGGAACTCCAAGTTTAAGCTGAACTAAATCTGAATCTTACTGGAGCACATCTGATATTCAAGCTTGAAGGTCTCATTACATATTTCTATGCAAATAAGTTACGATTTTAAACAATGCCATCTTTTTTTGAAGAGTATCCTAAGGAGAATTTTAGAAGTGTTATGGTTCCAAAAATATTCATTCAGCCTTGTAACAGTCTAGAAAGTAGAAATTCATGCCAGATGACAAGGTAACAACTAACCTCCATCATGAAAGGGAGAGCAGTTTAGACAAAACAAATAATGGAATTTTCTAAGAGGGAAATTAGAATTAACTAAAATAGTCTATGTTGAAAGAGGTAAATTAAGATATGTTTGTAATTACTATGAATTTGTGTTAGGAGGTTTATAGATAGAAAAATGGGCCTAACTTATAAGCAAGAATGTTCACACATTTTTTAAAAATTGTAATAGAAAGCACAAAAAATAAAACTGAAACAGTATATTTGATTCCAAAAATAAATTATAATTATTGGTAGTGGTGATACAATATAAGTATACAGATAACTATAATCCTTTTTATCAAAAGCAAGTAAAATTTTTTCAAACAAATAGTATCAGCAAGGCTAAGGCATTTACTTGTCCCTTATTTTGTGGTCAATGTGTATGAATTATGATGTCCTGATTATGTTCTAAATCTAGGTCTGTTGAGCACAGGGCTGTCCAATAGAACTTGTTGCCGTGGAAATGGTCTATATCTGCATCCTTGACTGCCAGGAACTTAAAATGGGGAGAGCTGTAACTGAGGAATGGAAATTTAACTTTATTTAAAAATAGCCACATATGACTAGTGTCTACCACATTAAAACATACAGCCCAGAGGGTCAGCATGCAAGACTCCCTCTCTGGTTAAATTAGGTCTCACTCTTACTCGCTTGTTCATTTTCACAAGCATGGTATCCATAAATGTTTATAAGAATACTTATACTGAAATTTTTTTGTTCTATGGTGTTACTGTCATTTAAAAAATATGCTAGTGAATATCCAATACTACATCAAGATAAACCCAAGTGAAAAACACTGCCTGCAAGGATTCTTATTAGTGTTTGCAGTATGTCAATATAACCACACTGGTTAATGAGGCAGCTTGGTGGCCTATGTCAATCTGTCTAATGTTCATTCTAGAATGACTAATATTCAAACTATGAAATATCCACTCCTGAAAAGTTTTTTCCATTATCTATCAAAACACAAGAATAATTTACAATTATTACATAGCTTTCAGCTCCATTGGTTAAACACTGCGAAAGCTTGTCAAACCATTTTACCTGACAGATGTATTTGTTCTTCCATTTGCTCAGCACACACGGACTGTTTTGCATCAATTCCTGAAGGACAACAGAAAGAGAGAGTGCAGTTGGCTACACACTTTGTCATTATCAGTTAAAGTGCTTCTGATTTGCAAGAAAGAAAAAAGGAAAAAAAGAGGAAGGCGATCAACAAGCCACACAAAGACACAACTGTGTGGGAAGCTCTCTCTGGACAGAAGTAAAGCCATCATCACCAGGAGAGCTGCTCCTTTATGAAAATTAAATCTGGTGAAAGATGTTCTAAAGCAGATCTGTTTCTTCCCATTTTTGAAACCTTTTGAAAGATACCTCCAATTCTTTCAGTGTGTCTCGAAGTTTTTCCGGGCGTCTATTTTTGAGTGTCCAAGGATAATCTCGTGCTGGCAAATAAAACATGTACAACAGTTAGTTAAACATGAATTAAATAAGGAACCTCTGCTTAGCAGTGTGCCTTAGCAGATTAGAATAAGACACCCCATAACTGAGAGGAAGCGGACTTCATCGCTATCCCTAAATGGCAGTCTTTTAAAAGGCTTTGTTACAGAAACAAATTTTTACCACAAACTAATCTCCCTGATTATAATTTTGTGATGACAACCAACAAGCCTGAGAGACCCTAAGAAGTTTTGGTAGGCCGAGGGACCCAGCAGTATTTCGTAGTAAATGGCCTGATCTTATAACTTGAGTAACTTTTTAATGAAAATACTCAAGGTTCAACCCAAAAGAAATTCCAGCATCTCCAAGTGGCCAACTCAGACCTGAAACTTCTCATTAATAAGTTAACTGTGGTGAGGAAAGAAACAGAATATAAAAGTAATAGGAAGAAAATTAATTTAAACATGACCAAAGCACTATATACTTCAACTCTAGAAAAAAAAGGGGAATCCAAGTTTTAACAAATAGGTATTAGGAATGTTCCTTGAAATAATTCTCTCAAATGTAAACACTAACTAAGCCATAAACTCTTTAATCTACAATGGTGTCCTACCTGATAGATATGTTTGTGCAATACTGCCACAAAGCTTGTGGGAGCGACCAGCCAGTACCTGATTTGACTTACGGCCTACTCCATGAGAGTCAGCCCACTCCTAACATTGCTTGGATGACCAAAAACCTGAGACTAGATATCCCAGGGACCTAGGGACAACTAAATACTACTATTCTTTAAAAAATAAAATTTAAAAACAAAGCACTCCCAATGACATTCTACCATACTCATCAGTGCCGTGTTCAGCCATCATCAGAGAAGCTTCCTCCTCAGCAGATGGGAAAAGATGCAGAGACCCACAGCCAGGCATTACACAGAGGATGAGAGACCTTGGAACACTCAGCCCTGAATGGGAATGTCTCCATCAAATCCCTCCTCAGTGCTCAGAGAACCCAGCAGAAGAGGAGGCAGAAAAAGTCTAAGAGCCAGAGGGGATGGAGGACACCAACAAAACAAGGCCCCTAGATCAACATGAGCAAAGCTCATGTGAACTCACAGGACTGAGGATGCACGCACAGGGCCTGCTCAGGTCTGCACCAGGTCTTTTGAGTATATATTATGGCTTCTAGTTTAGTGTTTTTATGGGATTCCTGAGTGTGTGAATGTGTGAGTCTCTGATTCTTGTGCCTTCTCTTGGGCTCTTTTCCTTCTGTCTGTTTTTCTTTTTTTTTTTTTTTTTTGTCCAATTCCAATGTGTTAGCTTTTGTTTTATTTTATTATATATTATTTTATTATGGTCTATTTTATTATTATTCCTTAGAAGCCTGTTTGTTTTCTAGTCAGAGACAGAAAGGGAGTGAATCCAGATGGGAGGGGAGGTGGAGAGGAGCTGGGAGAAGCAGAGGGAGGGGAAACTGTAATCAGGGTGTATTATGTGACAAAAAAAAATCTATTTTCAATAAAAGGAAAAAATAAAATAATTCTAAAATCTATGCCACAATCCAATAATTATATACCTTGTTTATTTTAAATAATTTCAATTGAGAGGTTATTTAGTAGACATACAAAGTTAGCCTAAAATTAAATCTGTTTTAAAAATTAATAAATATGGGCAAGGGGTCTAACTCAGTGATAAAACACTTGCCTAGCATGTGTGAAGCCCTGGGTTCCATCTCCAGCACCCACCACATACAGATGAATACATGGTACACGAATAATACTAATACCATGTTAAACTCACTGGAAAAAAAATGAATTAATCCTTAGTCTCATAATTAATAATTCTAAAAACGAACTGTGTATATGAATGTATATGTCATGTGTGCATATACAAATAATATATAGCATATATAGATATTTAAATTTAAACATAGAAATTGCAATGTATCCTATTTCAGCAAGTTTAATTTGGCTCTATAAACATAATTTTGATGTGTAGAACATATGTACAAATTTTAAGATATGTGTTGCAGATACTAATGCAGTATTCTAAAAATTAAATGTCAGTTCAATCACTTAAATAAGGAAAAAAGGAAGGCTTTTCAGCTCTAGCTATATTCCAAATAAAACTTTAAACTGCATTAGCTTTAATTCACTAAAACCGTATCTCCATGTAGTTATACTATACATATAACATATTTGTATCTTTCAGACTAACAACTAAATAAAATGTTGATATAACAAATCTCACTTTTGGCCCATAGGGTGCAAGCGCCCACTGCAGAGACTGACAAGCTGAGTTCAAATCTTGGGACCAACATGGTGGAAGGAGAGAACTGATTCCCCCTGACTTCCACACACATGCTATACACAAGCATGTGTGCACGCATGGACACACCCACCCACCCACCCACACACACACTCTAATAAAATAAATATGTTAAAATAAGTAAAATATGTTAATAATTTAGTCAAAACATGAAAAATTAAATGTTATCAGAACTTAAGCATGATTTATAATCATTTTCTCACACAAAAATGAGATGACATAATAAATTTTACTATAAGACTTTCATGATTGATACATCAAGTCACTATGTTGTATACCTTGAACATTTATAGTTTTTTAGCCAATTAAACATTTTAAATGAAAATAATTTATTTGAAAATATTAAATACAAATACACTTAATTTTAAGTTTTTGTTTATAAAAGCACATATCTTATCAAAATTGTATACAGTGAAGATTTTAATGATTTCATAAGAAAAGCCTAACAAATACAATTATTATTCATGAATTCATATACATAAACAATAGGGATCAGTAATTATAAGAAATGTGGACAGAGTAACACTTACAATTTGTGCAGGAAACAGTTACTCTGGAACATAATACTGTTTTTATAATAATTCTAGAAAGTTATAAGGTGAACTTACACTCTGCCAGCCTTTGTTTTTCTTCTAAGTTACCATGCTCTGTTGCTGACACTGTGGCAAAGAAAAGATGAATAGAAGAAAAGTGGAATTTGTTTTTATTAAAGTATCTTATATTTTTAGTGGGCATATAGAATACACTGCTGCAGACACTGAGATGAATACATGATGCTGAGCTTTAAAAAAGACAGTTGAGAGAGAATGTCACAATGTGTGTTTGCATGTCACAGAAGCCATTGCCTTAATGCACAGTGAAAAGGCTTAGACAGCACAACAGGTGGGCCAATATTCTGAGCTTCCAATCTCATCAGACAGGAAAGGGAACTGCAACCGAGCCCAGCAGAGAAGCTGCTGCAGTCTGTCATCAGAGCTCTGAAGTCAGCCTATTAACCGCCATGCTAAGCACAGGATGCTCTCACAGCCCCCACTTCAACGAAGAACAGGACAGGAAGTAACTCTAGCTAGGGAGACCTTTCGGCCCATCATAAAACTTCTGGGATTAACAGGATTAATCAGATAAAGAAAATTGATCATTCACTCAGAAATGTCTATTTCAGATATCAGGTGAGGATCCGGGAGGCCAGCATCACGGCGACCAATGCATTAACAATGCCCTCTGCTGGGAAACCAATAAATAAATGTGACTAAGACTGTCCTGTTATCAGCCTGATCAGCAACAAAATGAAAATTTTCACGTTATTCTACAACATTTTCTCAGTATTGCTTTATTTTTGATAGATCAGATAGATATCAACCTTAGTATTTTTTTTCTTTAAAAAACCTGAATTGACTGCTCTTAAAAGTTTGGAATTTATCTAAAGCCATAAACACAGAGTTTTTAATGTTGCTAATTCATTGCTCAGAATATTTCATTTATAAAACCAGTTAAATAGAATATGTGAGTACTTTACCTGGTGGATCTTTCTTGTCATAGTACTGGTAGACGCCGATGTCTCTATCTATAGAAAGAAAGAAATAACATTAAATTATGGTAAAAAGTTCTGGAGAATAAGAAGCCAAATCATACTATATCAGAGGGAATTGTGGGGAGGGGAGCAGAACCAGTCTCCTTATGTTTCTAGAAATAAAATAGCTCAAAAGCATCTGGCCATGGGTTCATCTATTCTAGGGACATGCAGAAACTGGAACGTTTATCGAGCTAATGAGAGAGTCGGAATGGCATAAGGGAACACGCAGAGCTAGAATGGCATGGGGAAGATTAGTGAAGAACTGAATCAAGGAAGACCAAGTTTTCTCTTTCACACTTCCTCGGATAGTTTTCACAGGGCGCTACCAAAAGGAACTGCCACTGAGCAATGCCAAATGAAGTCAGTGGATGGAAGAAAATGCCCTAGCTGTTGGATTCCGAGCTGTGGCTTGCTTTTCTCCAATTTAGCTCAGAAGTCTAGTTCCCATCCTATAGCATTTGGGAGGAAATCTGCAAGAAGAAAGGGGGGATTACCGGGAGCTGTGGATAAATTATTATCTGAAACTTGTTTAGAGTCAAAAGGCTTCCAAACCTATTCAAATTCAGATGCTCTGCTGGGCTAGGTAAGAGACAAAGTGAGACTTCGCAGATGTTGGGATTGATTTAACCAAGGGATTCTGTTCTTGCAATTTAAACAAGAGAACAGAATAATTTTTCCATGCCTATGAATAATGAAATATCTCCTTTATTGAAGTAACACTTGTTTTCCTCCATGCAAAAATAATTCTCAGTCACTAACATAAGGAGGCTACAACTGTCTCTCATGAAGTGGAAGCAGTACAGGCTGCCCCCTAGTGACTGACTCCAAACTTGGTCAACCTGATGGACAAAAACAGAAGAAAAAGACACGTAAAACTACTATAATTGAGTCTGCAAATATGTAACAGTCATGTGTACTTGATATACTTATATATATATATATGTATACTCAATACTCATATATTCATATACTTATACTCATATACTCTATACTCATAACTAAAGCTTATTTTATTCATCGTGAAATTAAGACCTGATTTTAAAGAATGCAATTAGATGTCTGTCGTTTAAATGGCAAATATCTACTAAAGACTGACTGGGAGATCATGGCCCCTTGAGCACTCACAATATTTTGTTAAGCTGAGTAGTGATCTCACGAATGTGCTCACTTTTTGATAGTTCACAGCATATTCTTACAATCTGTACACTTTTCAGTACATATGTTACACTTCAATTTTAAAAGTTTCTTGTTATTTAAAGCTATGAGCTAGAACTGCAGGCATTATATACGCAAGCAATATCTCCCATTAAAACATTCCAGTTTATAATTATAATATCATTCCATATATCCAAATATTTACAACTCTAGAATAGAGCTAGGAAGATCATAAGGGACCCTGAATTCTGTGCACAGATCTGACCTTCCTGTACCTGGCTGAGTGGGATTGAATGTAACTAGGACAAGGGCATCTCCATAAGGAGACCTGTCCAAGCAGTACCAGAGCTGGGGGAGAAAGATGTCCTCCCAGCTAATAATACAGTATCCAGACAACACAGTATGTTAGAACCCCTGCAAGTACAAAGTACATACACAGAGCATAGCAGCTCGGTATGGGGTATTAGAAAACAAACAAGAGAAGCAAGACATGGGAATCATGTGACTTGTGCCAAGGACCACATGAAGTAAGAATGATATCCACACAGGAGAGGGGACACAGAAATGCTAGACTGATATCTAGGAGTGTTTGACGGGTTAACTAAAGACACGGAAGCAATGAGAATCATTCTGTCTGAGAAGAAACGTGGATATGAAAAGAGAGGAAAATTATTTGGGAGATAATTGTTTCACTTTTCACTTTCTTCTTGTGCTATACTTTCAATTTCCAGGTCAGTTAGCATCCGTGTTCTCTAAAGCTCCTGTGTCTGGTTCTGTACTTCACGGCCTCAGCTCTTTCTTTAGGTTGGTGATTTTTTCTTCCTTCCTATGTAATCTTAGTTTCTGCAGAATTCCCTTTTCCTGTTTGCTTTTTATTACTCGTCTTCTTTCCTGTAGAAAATGCTAACATGATTCCTGAGCTCTCTTACAAGTGAGCCTCTAGAAATCTACTGAAGCTTCCCATACCTGAACAGGGTTTCACTGAAGAGGCTTCACTGACCAGTCAGGGACCAGATATTTCACCAAAGACCCCTAAAACATCAGGGTGGATGTTTTCTCTTTGGGTCCCTGCAGTAACCCCAGGGAAGGGTTCAGTTCTCAAGCCCCTTCTTTCTTGGCAAATACACAAAGGTGAGAAGACATTCTCAGCCGCAAATGAGTTAGGAGGACCTCGTTCATCAGCATGGCAGCTTCAATTTTCTCCACCTACAGTTTAGCAGGTCTCCTTCCTGCGGCTCTGGTATCCTAGAGTTTCCACATCATAGAGGTGTCTCATTATTTTACACAGACACGCATTCCCTCTGCTGTCACCCTGGGGCCACATCCCCATCTTCCGAAGTACATGCTCCTCAAGTTTCAGCCTTTCCAAGGTTTGTAAGATACAAATGGGCTGTCACTGGAATTCTCTTCTCTAGGCAAATGGTACTCAGATGTTTACTCTGCTAATTCCTTCATCTCTTCTATTTCCAAAAAACTGTCCAATTGAAAGTGTCCTTTTCCTAATCTTAGGTTTTGTGTGTTTATGCATCTTTATTTTAATTGGGTTAATCTTCCTTTAAAAGTTTTGGGAGGAAACAAATATGAGTCAAGTCTTAAATTAGAAATTCCATTTCAATATACTTTAAGGAGAATCAATGAAAACATGGCATTCATTTGTTATTGTATATTCACTATTAAGAAATATCCAGTACTCTGTAAGGTAAGCCATTTTCCTGATAAAGATATAAAAGTAATGTAAGTAAAAATGTATTTCTAAATATAAAAATTACTCTGAATAATTGAAGTAGAAAACATTTATAAGTTGTTTTCTAATGAAATATATATTATTCTATATACACAGTTCTATTATTTCTATTCAAGAAATACAAAACACAAACAACAAAGATAATTGTACATCTCAGTGATGTTTGAAATGCTTTTAATATCAAACAGAAATGTCTTTTCATTAGCTAATCTGCAAAAATGTATGACTATACAGCAGTTGAATAAACTTAATAAGAAATTGAACATTGAACATCTTTAGAAGGAAGAACTATTAGACTAGTAAAATTAATTTCATAACTCGAGCCAAAAAAATAAGTTAATAAGAGTATTTAAAAATTTTTTTTCATCACCCAATTTTTCATTAAGGATGAAAAAAAAAAGAGAGAGACCTCAATTCTATCTGCCAAACCCAGGCCCTAACTTTGTCAGTACTCATTGATAAGAGTGTAAGAGACTGAAGAGCCCTGACACTGATCTAGAGCTCACTCACCCGCAATGTGTAAGGTACTCTTCAGAGACCACAGGTGTAGCTCAGTCAAGCAGAAAGACATCTGATGGCAAAGGAATCTCTGTCCTGTTCAAAGTAATTAGAAAAAAAAAAAAAAAAAGAAGAAGTACTGATCAATTATTTCCCATTGCCAATCACAATCTCAACCTCCTTTTAAAAAAAAAAAAAAAACTAGTATTTGAGATATGGTCCATTAGGTTAAACACATTTTCATGTATTTGGTTAACCATCCAGAAATAAGCTCTAGAAAAAGAAAAATATACTTCTTTTCCTGAATTTACTATGTCATCACATTGAGAAATGTGGTAAGGAGACTATCTATATTTGGATGTTCAATAACATATGTTGGGTTATAGCTCTAAGTATACTTAGAATCGTTTAGTATGTGAATATCTTCTAAGTCATAATTTTTAGGAAAAGTGGATCTAATAGGTAGTTACTAAGTACAAACACATTTTGTGATACATTGCAATATATAAAGCAAATATTTTAGATACCCCACATATAAACAGGCTATAATGGAATGTGCAGGGTAAATGGCATATAGTTACTATCATATGAGGTACAGTTAGTTAAAATAAACACTATAAAATTACATTACTAACCAGGTAGTGTGTTAATTTGAATAGCATGATAGACAATCCAAACATGTTTTTAAAATCAAGATAGTTAAAATATATATCCTGTATTTCCTCCTACTTCAGTAGCAGGGATTAGTAACATACACAATTGATACTTTAAAAAAATCAAATAGGACCTCATCAATTTGGATTGATTGGGAGAAAGTCAGTCAAACTCTAGAAAAGGTTCACATTTTACAAATATTTAAAATTATAAAACTTTCAATGTTTGCTTAGAAATTCATACTAGACATCCTATGTTATATATTAGAAATGCATCTAATGATTTAAAATAAGCACATTACAGAAACTGTAAAAGAAATAAATGTTCATTTTAATGAACTTCTGGAAAACGAAATAAGCTTGGAAAGTATTTTAAGACAACTTTTAATAGATGAAAAGAACCTTCAGCTTCTTTAACATTAGGAGTGGCTAAAATATTTCCCACAATATTCATATGGGTAATAATCCAAAGTCATTTCAGACATAATAAAAACTTCCCTTGCCCTCACTTCACTTTTACAGAACCAGGATATAATTACAATCAAAAAGAAAATTTATGTTCTGCTAAGGAAACAAAGTATGCCATGGCTGAAGAGGAAGAATGAAAAAGTGTGGTAATTTGAAAGAGGGACCCAATTCTGCCTCAACAGTAGAGCTCTGAGAAAGCATCAGAGAAGCTGTGAAATGTCCCAGAAGTCTCCAAAGTAGCAAAGGATTCCAATAGTTTGATGATGATGGAGGTGGTGGTAGAGAACACTAAACACTGGATGATGATGGAAGTGGTGGAGAACACTAAACATTGGATGATGATGGAGGTGGTGGAGAACACTAAACATTTGATGATGATGGAGGTGGTAGAGAACACTAAACATTGGATGATGATGGAGGTGGTAGTAGAGAACACTAAATATTTGATGATGATGGAGGTGGTGGTAGAGAACACTAAACATTTGATGATGGTGGAGGTGGTGGTAGAGGACACTAAACATTGGATAATGATGGAGGTGGTGGTAGAGAACACTAAATATATGATGATGATGATGATGATGATGATGATGATGACAATGATGATGATGATGGAAGTGGTGGTAGAGAACACTAAACATTTGTTCTAAACATTTATATTGTAACTCATTCTTTCCTCCTAGTTATTTGTGACACCAGTAGTACACTGTGGAACTGAGGTCACAATGCCATCTGCTGGTGAAGGCAAGCTTTGAATCCAGAGACTCTGTTGGCCATCCCAGTGCTCTGTTGTAGCATTGGTGTATACCAAAGTATAGAAGTGTATATGGTAATTTGATGAAAAGGATGGCATGCTCCTAAAGACAGTGGTAGGTATAGGTGGAAAGGTTAAAAAAATGACAGATAAAGTTGAAAAGTGTAGGAAAGTGTGCTAGGAAGGTGGCTCAGTAGGTAGGTAAGAATGCTTATGCTGTAAGCATGAAAACTTAAGTATGAATCCACAGCACCTACATGAAAAGCCAAATATGATTATACATGCTTTTATTCCCTGCATTGGAGAATGGAGATAGAAGATTCCCAAGAGCTCACTGGCTAGCTAGGCTAGGCAAATGGGGAGCTTCCATTTCATTGAGAGCCCCTGTCCCAAAGCAATGAGGCAAGAAGAATAGAGGAGTACTCAGGGTTCTGCTCAGGCCTATGCATGGGAATGCACAGGCCCATACACCCACACACTCATATGCATGCACCATACACAATACACACAGGAAGGAAGGAAAGGGAGGAGGGAGGGAGGGAGGGAGGGAGGGAGGAAAGAAGTCAAGCAAGCAAAGAAGGGCTAAGAAGGAAGTGGGCTATAATGATAATCTTTGGACTGACTCTAAATTTATTTTCTTCTTGCATCAAAATGTCTTCAAAGGCAGTAGATTAAACAAAAGACCCTTACCTTGCTGTAACTAGATGCTCATCTCTCCTGCATATCAATGACTTCATGAGTAAGTACTAAATAGAACAGGTGGTTTACAAAGAAAAAGCATCCTTATATGAAGACAGTCACACACAAAAGGAGACATTTGAAATACGATACACAAATGGGTTGACACTTCATTGTGTTAAAACATGATGTGATGAAACAGGTGCATTTGTCCTCTGACACTGAGTATCAGAAATCACCATCTCTAAACTACATTACAAAATTTAAAAAAATGCTTTTCCTTAACTTAGAATTTATTCAGATGCCAATAACAATAATTTGTAGCAATGTGGGCAGAGACAAGGCTGGTTAAGCTGCTTATAGTTACATAAAGACTATAAGTTATTACAGATAAAAGCCTACAGATTAAGGAGTACACTTTTACTTACATACTAAAAGGAGACAACACTTGAAATCCTGTTTTTTGTCAATTCAAAAGAAAAAAACTTGCCAAAACTTTCTCCTGATAACAAAAAGGAGGGTAGAATACATTCTTAGTAGCAGTACACATGTTACCTATATATATTTTTTTAATTTGGAAGTCCTAAAACACTGAGATATTGTGATATTGGGAGAAAAAGCGAAATGAGCTTGGTGGAGAGCTTAAGATGCTAAGGGCAGACGAGCTCATCCTTTGCATCTCCCACAGGGGAGAGCTTGAGGGTCAGGAGAGCCTATAGCCACAGACTCATCTTCTAGTTCAGCACCCCACGATTCATATCAAGCTGTAATGGGGGTGGAAGGACTGGGAAAAATGTGCTTCTGTAGGAAGTGGCGTCCAGCCTAAAGCAGGCAGCAAAGCAGCCACCACATTGATGGGCTCAATGGCATCCAAGACAGACTGGGACCTGGGCCTGGCAAGAGCAGATATGGAGGTCAGATATGGAGGTCAGGAGGGGTCCACAGCCTTGGAAACGGATGCAGCCAGAAGCTGAAGTACATGTGAGTGAGCAGATGGAAAGAAACGGCCAGTGAGGTCATGATTGGACTTGCTCATAGACACACACCGCAATTCTGTGAATTCCCCAACATAAGTGATTCAAGAAAAGGCTTTGTGTTAACAGAGAGGGGAGAAACAGCCCAATGTTATTCACCCTTTTTTCTTGAACTTCAACTCTCTGCCAGGAAAACCATAAAAATTTGAAGAGTAAATAAATGGAGTAAATAGAATGACTTCAGTAAAATCCACAGTGCTAATTAGACAGCAAGGGAGGAAAGAGAGCAAATCAGTCCTCTTTTAACCTCCAAGATGCCTTGCCATCTTTAAAACTATACAGGTTTTTAAAACACTTTGGAAACATCTTGCATCTTATTCAAGAATGTCACCAGTGAAAAAGAATGCTGGTAATTTCCTGGTATGAAAAATCTGCCTGGAGGAAATAATCAAGACTGAGCTTGTTCCATCCAAATATTGTATTAGTGCAGAAATAGCTGTTTTGAAGTAGGAAAGAAAAGAATTTCAGAAGCACTCTGGATTTGCACTTGGGGAAGGAGGTGTGGGCAGGGATTGAAAGAGCAGCCAAACAGGGGGTTCCCAAGCTGAGAAACACTGGCCCATAGTGCCCTTTCTCTGGGTGACCGAGGACTAGAACAAAAGTATCTGTGCAGAGCAAAAGTACAGGATCTTAAAAATAATGACTCAAAGAATAAAAGACTAAACAAAAAGACAAACATGACTTCAATTTTCACTCATCTGAAGGGTCTTTAGTGTTCTGTTTATTTGAATCATATAAGGCAGCTTATGTCAGTTTCAGCTCTCTCAGGAGACCATTTTGTAATCCAAATATCTAGTCTTCATGACTAGATAAGCAGTATGATTTAAATTAAACCTGACACAAATTTAAGATGGCATTCTGTATAAGGAAGAATCTATAAGAGTGCAGAGTTTGAGGAAAAGGAAGTAAGAAAACCCTTTTACTTCCTATTTAATCCTCAAAAGGTTCTGTGTTTGAAGACAGGCTTCCCATCACTTTCTTCCATTTCACTTACATTAGAACTATTCCTTTCTGTAGTAACATGCAAAATAGAAATCATTCCAGGAGCATACTGCTGATAATATTCTTTTTTGGAAAATAAATATATGTTTGAGAAGTAAAGATTAATTAGCATTTAATAAATTGCAAAATGCTTGTCTTCTGCCAAAGTGGTTAGGTCTGCAGTCGCTGTCTTCTGAAGCCAGCTATTCTGACTCTACGGAGGAAAGGAAGCTTGAGGGCAAATAGAACTCCATGTAAAACATGATAGCAGAAAACTAATGAAGCAAGAGGAGACAGTGCTAGGACATCACGGCGCCAACAAGACATTTCCAGTGGATGGATAGCAGCAGCAGAACCTGCACAGAGCCTGAGGGCAGAAGTGTGGGACATATATTTGCTGCTTATTCTCATATATTTCCTTGAGAAGTCTAATTGAAAATGTTCAAAAAGAAAGATAATGAAATAGTATAAATGTACATAAACCACTGGTTCGTTGCATTGTTACAATCATAATTACTTTTCAATTACATA